GGCGGGAGTGCTGCTGCGCTCCCAGTGCCGCACTCTCCCGAGTGCGCCACGGGCTTGGCCCTTGATTTTTTTTTTAAAGCATAATTTTTATTTTCTTTTTTTTTAATCATGAAATATGTATAACATAAGGATTGCCATTTTAAGCACTTTTAAAAATACAATTGCCTGGAATTAATTACATTCAAGATGCTATGTAACCACTACCTCCATTTATTTCCAAAACATTTTTGTCTTCTTAAACATAAACTCTATACCCTTTGAGTAATAATTTTTTCTTATTCCTTCCCCCCAGTTTCTGATAACCTCTAATGTACTTCTGTATCTGAATTTTTTTTAAATTTATTTTTTCTTAACTGGCGCATGATTATTATATATATTTATAGACTACAGTGGGATATTTGGGTACATTTATACAGTGTGCATGATCATATCAGAGTATTGAACATACACATCACCTCAAGTTTAGGATTAAATCTAGTGTAGTGCACATTACTGCTCTACTTTCATCAGCAATTAACTTTGACTCCTTTTAAAGTCATTTTTTTCCTGCTGCTCTGTAAAGACTAAATTTAAAAAGCATGGTGCTGTTCATGAGTAATTAATGGGATGAAAAAGATATCTTAGAACTATGTAAATAAGCCAGAACAGAGGCTGAGATTATAGTTAACATAGGTAGTATTTGTCCTTAAACATATGGATAAATGCTCCTTTTTGGCCGGAGAAGTTTGAAAACATTTTTTTTAGTAGCAGTATAGGCAATAGCATATAAGGGTTTGGCTAGGGAAGATGTCATGGATACTAGAACTCTCCTTGTTCTTTCCTTAAGTTAATTTACAGCAAATCTTTACTATTTTATATCTTGTCATTTCCTTTATAAAAAACTCAAGTGATAACTCCTCCCTTCTAACCTAAAACTCAAGGAGGACTGAGTGCTGAGTCAGTTTTTTGTTTTTTGTTTTTCAGCTGGCCAGTATGGGATTCAAACCCTTGACCTTGGTGTTATAACACCACGTTCTAACCAACTGAGCTACCCAGCCTGCTCAAGAGTCAGTTTTATTCCGTATTGTATTCTTAGAGGCTAACAGTTTCTAGCACATCTAAGGGCATGTACTGTCTAGGAAGAGGTAGAAATATTACTTTTGTTTGGGGCTTTTAAAGGATGCTTGCTCTATACTCTAGGGCAAGGGTTAACAAACTTTTTCTGTAAAAGCTCACATAGTAAACATTTTAGGCTTTGAGGCCATGTAGACTTTGTCACACTATTCACCTCTGCTGTTGTAGGGCAAAAACCATCACGGACTTGTGTGACTGAATTGGTGTGCTTGTATTTCGGTAAAACTATTTATGAAAATAAGTGGTATGCCAGATTTGACCTGTGGCCATAGTTTGCCAACCCGTGCTTGATGATAGGACTAAAATAATAGTAAATGAATTTATCATTACCTAGCTAACAAAGGAGAAGAGTAGAATAATACAAAATAATTCTAAAGAACATAAGAAAGCAGAGAAAATGAATCATGTAATAAGTAGGATAATAGATAACAAATAGTAAGATAGTAGATTGAAATACAAACATTATTAATTGTATTAAATGTAAAGGACAAAATGCTCCAATAAAAAAGACAATTATTGTGTCAAAATGGTTATAAAACAAAACATCTGAATGCTGCTTACAAGAGACATACTTAAAATATACAGATACAGAATGGTTGAAACTAAAAAGTTAAATGCTAATCCAAAGAACGCTGATATAGTCATGTTACGTATCAGATAAAGTAGACTTTAAGGTAAAAAATATTGATAAAGGGCCGGCCCGGTGGCGAGTGCGCCGCTTGGGAAGCGCGGCGGCGCTCCCGCCGAGGGTTCGGATCCCACATGCAGACCGGCCGCTTACTGGCTGAGCGAGGGACGGGAGCAACGCTGCCGGTCCCGGTCCAGTACGGGTGCGACACTGAGGGTTGCGATCCGTTGCCAGTCACGAAAAAAGACAAAAAGGTAAAAAAAAAAATATATATATATATATATATATATATTGATAAAGAGGGAGATTTTAAAATGACAAGTGGTTCAATTCACAAGGAATATATAAAATCCTGAATTTATGTTTCTAATAATATCTCAAACTTGTATTAAAGTCTGTTAACTATCTAAAGGAAGAAGTAGAAAAATCCAGTCATAATGGGAGATTTTAACACTCCTCTTTGAGTAACTGATAGAAACTGTAGGAGAAAAAAAAATCAATAAGGAATTAGAAAAATTTGAGTAACATGACAAAAAGACTTGTCCTGAGGGATACATAATAATCTAAGCAGCTCAGATTATACACACGCACATTAAAAAAAATTGAAATCAATACATTCTCTGACCATAGTGGAATTTAGCTAGAAACTAATAACAAAAATCTAGGAAATCTGTATATGTTTGGAAAGAGTAATGTACGGAAATTAGAAAATATTTTGAACTGAAATATAATGAAAATACTACATATGGAAATGTGTGGGATGTAGCTAAAGCTGTGTTAGAGGAGAATTTAGAGTCTTAATGCATATATTTTTTTTAAAAAAAGGATTTTGAAAATTAATGAATTAAGAATCAATCTCCAGAGGTTAGATAAACAACAAAATTAAATGCAAAGAAAGTTTTAAAAAGTTATCGGTAAAGATAAGAACAGAAGTTAATAAAATAGAAAGCAAACATACAATAAAGAGAATCAACAAAGAAAAAAAAAATTTGGTTCAATGAAAAGTCTAGTAAAATTTATAACTCCTGGTAAGACTGATGATGAAAAAAAATGTGAGGGGCCACCCATGGCTCACTTGGGAGAGCATGGTGCTGACAACACCAAGTCAAGGGTTAAGATCTTACTGGTCATCTTTAAAAAAAAAAAAAGGAAAAAAAAAAATGTGAGTCAATGGCCATTCTACCCTGAAAAATAAATAAAAAAACCGCAAATAACCAATATCAGGAATAAAAAAGTGAATATCACTACAGATCTTACATATCATTAAAAGTCATAACAGAATATTATGAACTTGAAATGGACAAATTCCTATAAAGTATTATGTCTATGAATTGAAATAGATTCCTGTCAAAATTCATCTTATCAGAGTGAACACTAGAATAAAAAATCTGAGTCCTGTAGCTATTTTTTTTTTTGTCTTTTTCGTGACCGGTAAGGGGATCACAACCCTTTGTGTGGTGTCTCCCGAACTGCGCCCAGCCAGTGAGTGCACCGGCCAGTCCCATATAGGATCCGAACCCGCAGCGGGAGCGTCACCGCGCTCCCAGCACCGCACTCTCCCGAGCACGCCATGGGGCCAGCCCCTTGTAGCTATTTTTTAAAAATTTGTTATCTAATTAAAAACCTTCTTAAAATAGAAATTTCCACTGAACATTTAAGGAAGAGATAACACCAGTCTTTGGCTCTTACAGAGTTTGGAAAAAATAGTAATTTTATGAGCTCTACATGGACATTACAAGAAAGGGAACTAGGTCATCTAACTTTTGAAATGAACTTAGATGTAAAAATCCTAATAAAAATATTAGGAAATTCAATCTAGCAATATTTAAAAAGTGTAACACATCATGACCAAGTTGACTTTATTCTAGGAATACAAAGGTTGATTTAACATTTGAAAATCAGTCATTGTTGTAATTCATCACATTAGCAAAAAGCAAGGAGGAAAATAAAATCACATGATAATCTCGATACATGCCAAAAAGTATTGATAAAATTTAAAGTCAATTCATAATAAAAAACTTATGTTAGTTATAGATAAGAACTTTGTTCTGATAAAGCGTACCTGTTTGCAAAAAAAGCTACAGTAAACATCATAATGGTGAAATGTTGAAGTTTTTTCTAAGATTTGGAATGAGTCAAGGATATCCAGCATAGGAAATGGTGCAGTAAGTAAAGCAGGAGGAAGCATAAAAGATATAGTGACTGGAAAGGAAAAAAGAACCTTTTCATTTATAGCCAATATAAATATGTATGTTGAAAATCCAGAAGACAATGATTGTTGTTACTGCACTATGGTTTTTATTACTTATAGGGGAATTTAATAAGGTTGTTGGCTCTGAGGACATATAAAAAATGGTAGCATCAAAAATATTAGAACCTAGGAATAAATTTAATGAAACATATGGAATACCGTTCCTTTATAATTAGTGCTTTTTGTACCCTTCTTAAGAAATATATCCATGCCAAACGTCATAGAGATATTTTTCCATACTCTTTTAAACTTTATTGTCTTGTCTTTCACATTTAGAGGTATAATCCACTTGGAATTGATTTTTGGGTATGGTATGAGTGGAGTCAAATTTTATTTTTTTCCATAGCGATAACCAATTGACTTAGAAATATTTATGAAAAGATTGTCCTTTGCCTTCTGCACTGGATGGCTTTGTCATAAATCAGTTGTTTCACCTATGTTTGCATCAGTTTCTGGTCTCTCAATTCTGTGTCATCGGTCTACTAAGACTATACAGTTTTATTCATTGTGCTTTATAAATCTTGATAGGCACCTTGTTTTTCTTTTAAGAATGTGTTTGATATTTTTGGCTCTTTGTATTTTCAATCAATTTTAGCTTTTTGAGGGGCCATAGAATGGTATTCCACTATTGTTTAAATTTGTAGTTCCATGACTACCATCATTTTTTCATAGGGTTTTTGACCAGCTGGTTTAAAACTGCCTCACATTTTTCTGCTGTGTTGTCTTTTTCTTATTGATCTATAGGATTTCTTTATATATTCTGAATGCAAGATTTTTGCTGTTTACGTGTATTGCAAATAATTTCTTCCACTCTGTGCTTGCCTCTTTGCCTCTTAATGGAGTCACTTGATGAACACAAGTTCCTAATTTCAGTGAGGTCAAATATTGAGGCTTCTGTGTATGCTTTTCACCTGTTCTTTGAAGGGGAAAAGAACACTGATAAGCCTAAGATTCTGCTTGAATAAAATTAAAACTTAATTTTAATTTAAACTATTTTGATTTACTTGCTTTGCAGCTGTGGATTTCTTCAATCAGATCAACATGCTTTATGGAACCATCACAGACTTCTGTACAGAAGAGAGTTGTCCAGTGATGTCAGCTGGCCCAAAGTAAGACATGGTTAATGATCAGTTCTCATTTTTACTTTATTTTATGCTTCTTAGATAAGAAAGTTTCTGGCCACATAATTTTTCTATTTAGCATCTTCTTTGGTGGTTTGCCATTGACTAATAATATTAAATCCAGATCCCTTTGCTTGAGCTTTATGAGCTCTATTGTCTTCCGTCCTGCTTTTCCTCTGTGGTCTGTCCAAACTATGTTACTAGACAGATCTTGCTGTTCCTCCATTACTTATACTCTCTGAAAACTTGCTTATTCTGTTCTTCTCTTGGATATTTTTTTCTTCCATTTCTCTTCTATCATCTACAGTTAATATTTTAAAATATCTTACCCATCTTCAAGGCCCTTGTGAAATGCTTCCTCTGTGAAGCCTCTAATTTCTTCAAACTAGATATGATCTTTCTATATAATTTTTTCAGTTTTACAATGATTATATTTCTTTGTTACGTTATTCTTCTTGTACTATTTATACATGTTTATTTAACCTGTTAGATTTGTTCTTCTTTTAAATCCCTTTTGGTGCATGGACTGTGCCTGCCCACTGGTTAGCACTCCATAAATGTTGGTTGGATCAGTACATTTTTGAAACTGGCTTCTATTATTACTATTTCTAATAACAACAGTGGCAGTTACCATTTATTTAGTGCTACTTAAACATAAAGCCTTTCATGCATTATATCTTTTACTTTATACAGCAGTATTCACCACAAAAATATTGCTGCATATATTGCCGTGCACTCAAAGAATTTAAATGATCAAAATAAATGATCATTAGTAAATGATCAAAGAGCTCATAACAGAGGTATAAGAGCTAGAGAAAGGTATGGTGATACTGTAGAAGGTGGTAAAACATAAGATGGCAGTTCTCAGTAAAGAGAAGGGAAGACCACACTAGAAAAGGCACAAAGCTGTGTCTGAACTTTCACTTATTTTTAGCCTACAAAGATGAGTAGCTGCAGATCTTTTCAAAATCCAATGCCTCTCAGTCCCCTGACTCCTTATAGACCTCTTCCTGCAGAGATATGTTCTGTAGTTTTTACTTCTCAGGGGACCGTTTATTTTGGAGAAATGTCCTCTGTGGACTTTGTATGGGGTTTGTAGTTGCAGGTGCCTCTTTTGGTTTCCCCTCATCCTGTTTGCACTTACATGAATTAGCCCTTTTTTTTTCATCCTGTGGTTCAGAGACACAGGTGTCTGCTAGTTTCATCAAAGATAGAGTTTGAATTTCTGTTACTTGTTATTTTGGAAAGATTTCATAGAGGAAAAAGGGGCATTTTAAAATGAAGTCCCCTTATAGTATTTCTTAATTCTTTTTAGTATTACTGGTGTTCACTTTGGGTGTTTAAGTTTCACTTGTAAAAATAGATGTTTTTAATTTTGCTATTATATGGTTAGTTATGCAATGAGAAATTAAATAGCACTGTCTTCTAGAAAGCAAGTTCCTCTGGCTTTGAGAGTTGTGTTTATCTCTCTGCTCCTGTGCACGTGCGTGCTGTAGCTTTAAGTAAAGTTCTAGGTGGTCTCCTTCCTTCCTGCCTGCCTTCCTGCATGCCTGTCTGCCTCCTCCCCCTTTTCTTCTTTCTTTTTCCCTGCCTCCCTCTCTTCCCTTGTTCCCTCTTTCCCCCCTTTCCTGACCTGTCTTTTCTTTTCTTCTCTGGTGAATCTTGACTTTTACCTATCATTAGTGCTAAGAAGATGTGGTTGTCATGGTTCTTTAACAGATGCAGGATTGTACCAAGGAGAGGTATTTGTTAACTTATTAGCCCCTTGCAAAGTGGTATTATTGAATGGTGGCTTTTAGGACTTTATTCTCAGTTACTGTTTATTATTAAAAAAGAAATGGAGAATGTTTTGGAGTTTGCAGTTCATACTATGATGACAGAAATAAATTTCAAAGAAAATGATCTGTCAAAGGTGGGATAAAAAAATCAATGGGGGCAAAATAGAGCTACAAAATAAAGTAAGTCATCTTAAGTATAAACATGACAAAATAAAAAAGATCAGGGAATCATAGTTGTAAACTCTAGAAGTATAATCAATATATACTTTTTTTATTTTTCAAAAAGCCTTATATTGAAAGTTGATTCTTTTTCAAGCTTCAGGATATTGAAAATGATTCTTTGGTTTACTGTGTCTGCTTTTGATTTTAACATTAAAAAAATGAATACGGAATACCTGAAAAATCATTAACAAAATGAAAAACATGATTGCGAGGGAAGGATAAAAATGTTAAGATGTGTTAAGATATGGGAAAAAAAGTGGATGAGTCCTTGTCTCTAAGTGAAGAGTAATAATGGCTAAAAGTCCTACCATTCATGGTCTCATATCTTCTAAAAAGATCAAATGAGAATAGACTAAATTGCACTAAGGACTTTAGTTTTATATTAGGAAAAATCTCTTCACTGTGAATGTGATTAAACAATGCAACAGGATACCAAGAGGTGTTGGGAAATCTCCGCTTGGAGACTTTCAAAATGGACTTGACAGTCGTCCCTGTTGCCCAGTGTTGGCAATAAGGTAGGTACCCTACCAGAATATTCATTCAGGTATGTCCTGCTTAGGATTAGTGTTCAGGTGTAAGTAATTATGATTAAATAGCAAGCATCCTTATTTATGTTATCCCAAGAAAATTTTTATCATTTAAAATACCTGTTGTGTTTTTCTATTATATATTCTATCGTATCCTTTGCTAGGCTCACCAGTCAGTCCAAACTCTGGGAACAAGGTTTGAAAACACAGTTGATCCAAAGAGAGTAGTTAAGTGGTGGAAGTAACCTTTTTGAAACTAAAAGTTTAAATGCTAGCTTAGTGTAGAGATTTCTATACTTTGGATTTTCAGCTGTGTGCTTATTCCTTACCTTAAAATTGAGGTTATGTGTGTGTGTTTAAGTAACTCTGTTAGGGTTTTTACACTGTTTTTATTAGTTCAATTACAAGTCTTTTTTTCTAGTCTATTCTCCTTGAGAGTAGGGCAGGGTCCTTCATTTTAGTGTCCTTTATTGTTGACACAGTATTTCTCATATGGTAGGTGCACATGAAATGTTTATTAAATCAAAGGATGGTGGGGCTGGACCGTAGCTCACTCGGGAGAGTGCGGTGCTGATAAATCAAAGGATGGTGTTCTCTTAATACTTCAAACCTGTAGGCATCTTTATCTGGGTTGACAATTTTCTTTAAAGACATGTTTAGCTCCTCAGCTGAGTGTGGCCAAATATTGAGTCATTCTTTTTCATTAATCTTACTTTGGAACTTCCATGTCGTTCCCTATCTTTAACCCAAAATTTAAAGCCCCATGTTAAAAAGAATTGTACTGCATGAAGGGAAATGTTTTTTTAAGGAAGAGAAACAATGATAAAGTTCAAAAATCACAGAATTGAGAAGTAAGCTAGTTTCTCTACTACAGCAATGTATGATTCTAAAACATAAATGCTATATGTGAGGGAAAGCTACATAAGAAAATCCAGATTTTCTTATAAGGAGAGTGTGGAAACACAATAAATGAGTTTGGGATCTGCTTAGCTTAGATCATGATAAATGCAGAGTAGTGTACTGGCAGTTTAAAAATGCATATTTATTTGAAAGAGTATATTGTTTAAAACATGTCTGAGTATACATGCATAATATACACACATATATAATATAAAACATGTATACTATATGTAGGTATGTACTGATATTCTGTATACTTTTTATCTTTCCAATGCAGGTATGAGTATCACTGGGCAGATGGAACAAACATAAAGAAACCTATTAAGTGCTCTGCCCCAAAGTATATTGATTACCTGATGACTTGGGTTCAAGACCAGTTGGATGATGAGACATTATTTCCATCAAAAATTGGTATAATTGTTTTATGTAATTGAGATCCATCATGATTTATTTAATTTTATGTTTCTAGAATTGTCCTTCCACTCTGTCCAGTTGGAGACTTCTATTGGGCTATGTTAATATATGTGTATGTTATATAGTCCCCAAGAATAGGCACAAAAGTTTGTTAACACAGACTATGGTAAAATAAGCTTTCTTTTGTGAATTCATTTTTTTCCCTTTAACTTAGTGTTTTTACATACATGTTAGTTGAAACGATAGGTTTATTAGAAAATAAATGATCTACCTTTCTTGACTTAAGATGATAATTTTAGGCCTGGCTGGTTAGCTCAGTTGGTTAGAGGATGGTGTTATATAACACCAAGGGTCTAAGGGTTCGGATTCTCATACCAGCCAGCCACCAAAAATAAAAAAAAGGTAATTTTATTTTGTTAAGTTTTTGATGATTTTCCAGATTAAAATATCACAGAACTTATTTTCAGTCAAAAAGTACGTTTTTTGGGGGGTGGGGTGTTAAATAATTATAACCATTGGTTAAGGAGAATAAACTTATTTCTTTGCTGCTTAGGAAGCCCTTTCAGTGGAAAGTTCTAGATAGAGGCCTATTCCTATAGCAGGAATCATAGTAGATTACTATCTGTATCAAAAATTTTTTTTTTTCCTTTTTTTGTGACCGGTAAGGGGATCGTAACCCTTGGCTTGGTGTCACCCGCACCAGGCTCAGCCAGTGAGCGCACCGGCCATCCTATATAGGAGCTGAACCCGCAGCGGGAGCGCCACTGTGCTCCCAGTGCCACACTCTCCCAAGTGCGCCACGGGGTTGGCCCAAAATATTTTTAATCTTACACATTTAAGTGTCCTATCTTTTTTATACCAAGTTTATCATGAACAATAAGGTAAACTTCCCAATGATTTTAAATGACATATCTAGGGTAGTAAGAAAATCTGGCTTATGTTATACAAAAAAGAGGATGGATATTGAACAGGCAGCTAATAACATCTGCCACAGTCATATCTATTTATTATTTAGGTAAAGAGTTTATCTGGCTTGTGTCCAGTTTTTTATTTGTGGTAAAGAGGGAATTGAATTTATTACCCACAATATGAATCTTACAGATACTGAAATCAACCTATGTGAGAAGAAAAGATGTGAGGGTTTGTCCTGTTACTGACTGAGTGACCTTTGCTTTTTAATATTTGCTTTTAAAGGCAGACCATTCAAGTGAAAATTGTTCACATCTAGACAGTTCATGTGGTTTTACCTTCTCAAGCTTCTTATAACTATGTTTTCTGAAAAAAGTTAAGAATTTGCTCTCCTAATATTATTAGCACAGCTTTTTGACTACATTTTATACTTTGTGTTGGGAAGAAAGGTGTGGTAGAGAAGACAACAGTGTAAATAGTTGCTGTTATTATGGAGTGTTTTAAACATATTTATTGAATGTGTTAATCACTCTGGAGCCTTCGTAATAAAAGAACTATATTTCAAGACTGCATTATTTATATATATCATAACGGTTTTGGATGAGTGTCCCCACCTTATTTATCTCCCTTAATCTATTTTTAACTATTTACTTTGACCTAATTTCAGACGTTTAGAAAATTTGCTAGATTGTACAAAGAATCGTACAAAGAATTCCTTCATCCAGATTCTTTAATTGTTAACATTTTACCACTTTTGCTTTATCCTATCTCCCCACCTCATCTTTGTCCTCTCTCTTTGACACACACGCACATGTTCATTCATTCGTGCTTTTTCCTGAACCATTTGAGAGTAAGTTGCATATGTGATGCCCTTTATCCATAAATACCTCAATATGTATTACCTTAGAGAATCACAGTATAACTATCAAAATCAGGAAATTAATTCTGTTAAAATAATATTCTTTAATCTACATATCTTATTCAGCTTTTTCAGGTTTTCCCAGTGTTCTGTATAGCAAAAGAAAGTATTTGATACTTGTTTTCATTCTGTTGTACTGTCTCTTTAGCCTCCTTTGATCTGGAATATGTGTACCTTAGTCTTTTTTGTTTTTTCCTGACATATCTTTGAAGAGTACACATTATTTTATGGAATGTTCTTTCATTTTGATTTGTCTTAATGTTTCCTTGTGATGTATAATATTTTTAAATGAGCAGTAGTCAATGTGATGACATTGAACCTAGTACTACCAGTATTTTGCCATTTTGTCGATCTGGATCATTTAGCCAGTTTAACAAAGGATATGGGATTTTGTATTTTTTTAAAATAAAATTTTATTGTGTATATTTAAAGTGTACAATATGAAGTTATGAGCCATATATATACACACACACACACACACACACACACACAGATGCTCCTTGACTTATGATGAACTTATGTCCTGATAAATTCATTATAAGATAAACCCATCATACTTTGAAAATATCGTAGGTCGAAAATGCATTTGATACACCTAGCCTACCAAACATTATAGTTTAGCCAAGACTATCTTGAATGTGCTCAGAACACTTACATTAGCCTACAGTTAGACAAAGTCATCTAACACAAAGCCTGTTTTATAATGAAGTGTTGAATATCTCATATAATTTATTGAATACTGTACTGAAAGTGAAAAACAGAATGACTGTATGGGTACTTGAAGTATGGTTTCTACTGAATACATATTGCTTTAACACCATTGTAAACTCAAAAAGTTGTAAGTAAAACCATCGCAAGTTGGGGGATCATCTGTACAGTAAAATAATTATAGTGAAAAAAATTAACATACCTGTCATCTTGCATAGTTAACCATTTTCCCACCTGTGGCAAGAGCTGCTGTAATCTACTCATTTAGTAAAAATCCTACAATACACTATTATTATCTATAGTCCTAGTGTTGTACATTAGATCTTTAGTCTTGTTCATTCTGCATATCTGCTACTTTATATCCTTCAGCCCGACATCTCCCCATTCTCTTTCAATCACTATTTTACTCTCTATCTCTGTATATTTGACAACTCCCCCCCCCCTTTTTTTTTTTTGTCTTTTGTCTTTTTCCGTGTCGGGCAACGGATCGCAACCCTCAGTGTTGCCCCCGCACCGGACCGGGGACCGGCAACGGGATCGCAACCCTCGGTGTTGCCCCCGCGCCTCGCTCAGCCAGTGAGTGGGAACCGGTCTGTATGTGGGATCCGAACCCTCGGGCGGGAGCGCCGCCGCGCTTCCCAAGCGGCGCACTATCCAGTGCGCCACCGGGCCGGCCCCGACAACTCCCCCTTTTTTAAGAAAAGATTCTACATATAGGTAAGATCATATGCAATATTTTTCCTTTTGTGTCTGGCTTATTTCATTTAACATAATGTCCTCCATTCCCATCCATGCTGTGGCAAAGGGCAAGATCTCCTCCTTTTTTAAGGCTAAATAACATTTCAGTGTGTGTATGTGCACCTGTGCACATGCATATCACATTTTCTGTATTCATTTGTTTGTTGATGGACAGCGAGATTGTTTCCATGTTGTGGCTATTGTGAATAATGCTGCAGTAGACATGGGAGTGCAAATACCTTTACAATGTGATTTTATTTCCTTTGGGTATATACCCAGAAGAGGGATTGTTGAGTCATATGAGAATTCTATTTTAATTTCCTTAGAAGCCTTCACACTGTATTCCATAACAGTTGCACCATTCTACATTTCCACCAACAGCGTACAAGGATTCGCTTTTCTTCACAGGGATTCTGTATTTTTCTAGTTTTGTGTTTGTTTAATGCTGTAAAAGTGCTCTAATTCACAGAACAATGAGCCTAATTGAACAGAGACTGCAGCTAATTGCAGGACAAATGTAGACCTGGAATAGTAGTGAAATCATTTCCATAGAAGTATACAATATGTGGCAAGCATTTTAAACAAAAATGAGCATTGTTAATGCATTATTTGTGTTCAGTGTGTACTTGTATTGAAACTTGATGTTAAGAAATCCGAGGGTCTGAGTGTAAGTTTGCAGTCTTAGGTATTTATCTGTTTCATCTTAGTAAAGTGGTGGTTTGTGAGAGGCATAATGGGCTATTATACAGATTAGTTCTTATCCCATAGATGCTTTGAAGTTCATTTTCATTCATGATATGTTGAGCACTTCTAAAAGGTATAATGGATATATAAAGTAGTAATTCATAAAGACTACTTTTCAGCCTTGTTTTGGTAATTTATGTTGCCGTTTGTTAACAAACTATATTGCATTGTTCTTGACTCATATTAATAGTGGATGGTGTTTACTTCTTTACTAGGTGTCCCGTTCCCAAAGAATTTCATGTCTGTGGCAAAAACTATACTCAAACGCCTCTTTAGGGTTTATGCTCATATTTATCATCAGCATTTTGACCCTGTGATCCAGCTTCAGGAGGAAGCTCATCTCAATACATCTTTCAAGCACTTTATCTTTTTTGTCCAGGTAAGTTGGATTAGGAGGCCTTTGGTGCTTAGTGTAAGCTTTAATCTTCAGAGTTCTAAGGTGAATACTGCATCCACACTGTCAAGATAGAGTTTGCCATACCTCTACTATGCATCCTCTTCTGTATGTGCCATGATGATAAGGACTGGCCTTTTGTTTCTGAATTTCATTAGTTTCCAAGTTGATGGCATGCAAATATAGTCTAAAATGGATCTGAAAGGTCTTGCTTTAGACATGCTTCAGTTAGGAGGCCATGTTGAGGGGCTGAACAGGGAACCTAACTAGTTTTTGGCAGATGTATACATGAACTTGGTCTCTTGAGCATTTTTGAACTTCTCCCACTCCCCTTAACTCGTCACTCCTGTCTACCCTGGATCTTTTGTTAATAGACTCTGGCCTGGAATCAGGACTTCTAATAGCACTTTCTTTTTGTCTCCTTTTTTTAAGCCACATTCTAAATAATTTTTAAGTTAGGGACTGTCCATCATGTCTGAGGAAAAAAATGTCACAAAGAATGTTTCTATTCTATAGGTGTCCATTAGTCTTTGATCTGACTTCCTACTTGAGCTCCCCTTTGTTTAGCCCTCAAAGAACTGGCGTTAGAAATGTAGACTAAGAGCAGTGAGAATTTTCTCTCCTGCTATAATCATTAGAGAAGTAACAGGCAACAATGAAAAAGAGGTAGAAGTGGATGAGCTGGCCAGCTTCTTCTTTGTTTTTTGTGTGGAGATTGAGACGGGGAGATGGTAGTCAGGAGAAGCCCAAGGCTTGAATTCACGTTTTTATGTATCTATAGGCATATATTTATAAATGCCTTCTCCACTTCTTATCTCCACTAAAGAAAATGTGTACATATTCCTTCTATATACACTCCTCACATCAAAAGCACACATTTTATGTTCAATTTTGCTTATACGTGGATACTTCAAAAACGTCACGGAAAGATTCCTGTTATCTTTTAATTCTATTTTTCCACATTTTGAAGTACCCTTGTATACAAACGTTTTAGGAGGCTGTAACTTGCTAAAATTGTTGCTCTGAACGATTGCTTTATTATGGTATCCCATCTACAGACCCGTAAGAACAAAGAAAACATTATCCTAAAGTTCGTTTGTGTGCTTTGGTTTAGGCAGAACATGATTGCTAAAGTTCAGGTTTTGCTAGTCTTAGAGTATATTTCTCCAAAAGGGTTAATTTTACTGTACTCTGTGATCTTAAAATATGCTGTGTTTCCCAACTACTAGCAAATAATAGGGGATCAGTACATAGCTTTTACCACATCTGATCCTATTTACATCTGAGAACACTGTAAGCTTCTTAAAAATAAGTTCATTAGTCACACAGTATCACTCTTTGATTAAGCAAGAGGGGCACCTGCCCTGAGACCCATAATTTAGAGAATCCTGCTGTGGTCTTCCCCAGTTGCTCCCCTCCCCACAGAGTGAGGAATCCACAGGGCCAAGAACATACCTACCTAGATCTCTTCAGTGTATGCTTGGGTACCTGAGACCCCAGAATTCTCTGCTCACATGTTCTAAGTACACTTTCAGGGTCTCCATGGATCTTTTCCTTTGGGTCCATTCTTTTAAGGGCAGATCACATCTCTGATATGTACAATATACCTCTAGACCTGAGGGGTAGCCAGATAGCAGCTGTTTGTGAGGGTGAGTGGACATTACCCATATGGCCAGCCAAGGTGTCCACACTCGTGTGGGTGAGGCCCCTTTATGTGCAGGATGGAGCTGGGGATTGGAAGAGCAGGGAAGTTTGCTGAGGGCCAAGGACCTGGGCCTGCCTCTGTTTATGGCACTACTTTCCAGTACATAATCCTGAAGGAGTCTTGAGAATTCCAAATTTGAATCTGCTTACCTGGTCACTATGAAGGCATATACAAGGTAGGGTGATAGAATATGTTTTATTTAACAACATATTAGCTTAGTGCAAAATTGAATTATTTGGTCATGTGATACGTATTCATTTGTGTTCTTCACCCAGACCCACAAATCTGAGAGGTGGGCCTGCTGTTAAATGTTCCCTAATGCTTCTCTCCAATTACCCTAGTGCTTGGCACATGATGGATGCTAATAAATTAATTAAATTGGGAGCTGAGAATGCCCCACCATGGCAGAAGATCAGAAGATGAAAAGTATATACAGTCTCTGAATATTAGCCTTAGAATTTATAGTTCTCAGGAAATCTATTCAAAAGTGAACTTCAGAATGACAGGGGTAGAACTTCTGAAGGAGCATAAACTAAATGCAGGCATTCTCATTTGTTGTTTACAGGATTTTAATTTATCATTATGATTATGTCACATCTTCTGATAGCTTATAGATTATTAGTTTAAAACCAGGCTTTTACTCTTCATATAATGCTCAAGTTTGCCTAAGATGCTGGATTTTTTAGTCCCTATGTGGTTGACTATATTTAAATGGTGCCCAGATTATTCTTTTCAACAGGAAACAGCAACTCCCAATTTGTTTTGAGTATAACTTTGTGCTAGGCATTACATGTAGTGGTTAACATCCAGTTTCACATTTAGTCCCCACAGTAATTTTATGAGGTATGGGGATTTATTGTAATGTTAAAGATGTAAGAGCATAACATCGGAGTGGTTAGGCAATTTGCTTAAGACACAGAGCAAGTGAATTGGAAAAAAAATCAAATCTTTTATTTACTTCAAAAGTTGATTTCTAACAAATGTTAATGGTACTCTGCTTTGGAGTGAGATACAAATAATATGTTTTTTGCTATTTCTTCTACCTTTCTTTATCATGCATAGGAATTCAACCTTATTGATAGAAGAGAACTTGCACCACTCCAAGAACTGATTGAAAAACTCACCTCAAAGGACAGATAAAAGGATGCAGAGCTTTGCAAATTATTCCTCAAATGAAGCTGTGTGGAGTGTATTTAGGTTTTTATTGTACTTTGTTTTTATCTGGATTGTTTTTGTCTTAGGTTTGGGGGTCTGTTTGGATTCCTTTTTCTTTATTCTGAATATATGAACCATATTCTATTGCTAAAGGAAGCCAAGAACCATTCTCTGTACATTTGATAGCGGTAAATTTTGTCGTAGTGGCTGACATACAGTATTTTTTTTTAACTTGGTTTCGGTCACTTGCGGAGTTTTTTATATTGTGTGCTGAAAGAAAATGCTTATTGATTGAACTGCTGGTGGATGAGGTTCTGTGTTTTGTAAGTTGTGGCTCATTTTTGAAGTCCCCAAAAGACTTATGTTTTTAAGTGCCTTGACAGGCTCACTTCTAAGGTGCAGAGCACAGACATAGAACTGAACAGGGCTCAAAACTATATTAGGATTACTACCCAGGGCACTTACTGGTGCACGTTGTAAAATATCTATGATAAAAGCCATAGTTTACTTAAATCGGTGATCTCCAGCTTTTACTTCATTGAGGAAACATAATTTGTAAAGATGTGCATGTAGAACATAAAAAATTAATATTTCTTAATTATTTTTTATATTGATGGTAATATATTCTGTTCAACAAATACTTAAAGTTCTACAAGCTGGTCTTTTTCCATCTCTTGATATCTGTAATATTGAAACTTGAGGATGTTGAAATGTAATAGCCATTGCATTTTGGCTTCTTTCTTCATATTAACTGCACTGTTGGTGTAAAAATTCAGGTTATATATAGGATTGCCATCTTCAGAGGTGATGCTTAACTGTGAGGTTTCTTAGCAATTGCCAAATGAGCCATAAGTCTGCAGAATCTCCTACTTCGAAGAGGAGGGGATAGGAGTGTGTGTTTGGTTGGGGGGGAGGGGTTAGTTTGTATCAGAATTTAGGGATGGGATTAAGTATGGGGAGTCAAGTTTTAAAAAGTCCTGTCTTCAAACCCTTGAAGAGAATGGCATGAAGATTTTAATTATAAACAAAGTCTTAGAGACTTCCTTTTAGGAATCAACTTCCATGAGAAGTTAAAAATAAATTATTAATTTTTGGTACAGACATTAAACATGGAATTTGAGACCTGTTTGAGGAAATTGATCACTTTTTAGTATTTCCATTCAGTGAATGGAGCTGGTCTTTGCCTATCATTTTACAATGATACATACGGTATGTTCTTTGCTTATTATAGGCCCAATTTGAAGCATTCTGACTTCTGATTTTTCCACTGCGAAAGGAAATCTTTTTCTTTGCAGTGATATCAAATAGTGAAAATGCTAATTCAGTAGTTATTAACTTTAAAATTTTATTTGCTGTGATTTTCTAGTGAGTTATTACCGTAAGTTCAGAAAATTAGTATTTAGAATAATTATTTTTTTTTTGCTTCAGTTTTATTCTGTAGAAATACCCTTTTCAGAGTTCCAGTTTTAATTTTGTCATTTCTGGTAAGTCTGCTTCCTTCAGTTAGATATATCCTCCCTTCAGTTAGAAACGTGTTCTTTTTCTTGTAGAATAGAAATGCTTGCTCTGAAATTATATAGATTAAAAACATTTAATAGAAAAGAATATAAAGTGAAGTCAATTTGTTTTTGCCATTAACAGGTAGAGCAGTGATATAATTTAATGCCATTATAATTATCACTAGGAACTGCCTTTTTCTCCATTTCATTTCTACCAACTGCCAACAGAAGTAACAGGAGAGTCTGACAGAGGCAAATGTATTGGACATTATTGGTAAAGCTTATTTATAAACTGCAGTGAGAGCTAGCTGATTTCCTTAAAATAATTTCTTAGTATCCAAATAGATAATATCAACCTCTGCGGGTTGATTCAGAAGTAAAATTTGATGCCGTGTTAAGTGGTTTTGAGTCCTGTCTATATGGGAAAATGAAGCACACAATTACTCAAATAGTCTTCCATTCTGCATTTGACTTCATATCAACCTAGTAACAAAAGGGTTGCAATAGCCAACTGTAGAGAAAATAGTGAAAAGTTGTTCTTGCTCTTTTAAGCCTTAAACAGTAGTACACTATAAAAATAGAAAAATTTTTCTATAATGTTTAGTAGTATGACCTATCTTACCACTGTATGTATATAGGAGTTTCTTTTCACTGTGTCAGAATCTCAGGTGCCTGCTTCTGAGTATTCCTTTAATCAGAGTTATTGGGAAGTAAGGAGATATGTATGTGTATGTATAGGGTAACAAAGTATAGAAGTTCTCCTGGGGAGAGGCCTGGCATTGTACATGGTGTTATACGGCTACAAGTAAGGAAACACTCGCCAGAGTATATGAGAAAGAACCGATATAATAAAAAGTTGCTTTGATTTGGTTGGTTCCCATGAGAGTAAGATGACTATAAAATAAGAATCAAACTTTGGTTTTGTAGCAGAGCTTGCTTATAAATATCTATTGGATTCTTTTTCAATTTCTTTAATTTATAAATAACTGAGATAATTATTTCCCCCCCTCTTCTGAATATACATAGATATAAAGCAGAAGCTGCTTTTCTTATACTTTGATAAAAGCATCCCATAACATATAAAGTAGTAAGTTAACATAGTATTATCATCACTCACAATGCTTTGGTTAAATGTTGATATGAAGTAAGTTTTAGGAATTATTTTAAATGATGGAGTAGTGGTGGAGAGAAATAAAAGAAAGAGAGAAAATCTTTTAGTTGGCAGTAGATGGTGCTACTGGCTTTTACTTGCTGACTTGATTATTCCCTTTCCCGTAAAAACCACAGAATTAGACAGCACTAAAACAGTAAGGATGTGTTAGTTAGCTGATGGAGGCTTTGGAGGTCAATTTATCTTAAATTGAAAGATTTTACATTGTGTCTCTTTCTACCTTCCCTCTTTTAGTCATTTGTAAATTCTAAACGGTCAGCATAAAATATTAATTAGGTAGGAGGAGATATGTTTTGTGTATAATATAAATCAGACCGAGTTACTGTCTGGCTTATCAGGATGGATAAAGCACTACAATCTGTTATCAGGAAATAGAGATCATGTGGATATTTATATTTTACGTATGTAGTCACCAGACTCCATTTTATACATTAGCATTTTCCTTGCTTATGGGAAAATAGCAAATGATAGATTTCTTTTATACCTTTGTCTACACCCTCTCTGAGAGAGGTTTTGATAACCACTGAAATGGTAGAATATGTGAGATACAAATATTAAGTTGCAGAACTTTCTTTTAAAATGAATGTATCATACCTTATCATCCAAACAAGAATTGATCTTCGGAGTGGTTCCCTTGGGAGTACTACTTATGCCAGCTATGCTGAAAAAGTATAATTGTTTTTGGAATTCTTTTAGAGATGCCATGAAAATCAGTTGTGACTATGCAAGAAAATCAGTTTCATCATTTCAGTTTAACAAAAACTTTTATGGCAGCTTAATGTGACCTGTCTTAATCACCAAACCAACTCTAATAACTTGACTGTTCTCTGAGAAGTAAAACATTAGGGAATTTCAAAAGAATGTGCCATAGACTGAATTTGCAGAAGAGAATGTTTTAAGCATCGGTAGCATCAATGAATAAAGGAATAGTTTCCTGATGTCACTGTTTGAAGTGGACAGTATCATTATCATTTGGATGTGTAGGTTTAATTTTTTAAAATTCATTTTAATTACTTTACAGTTAAATATAATAATAATTTTAAAAACCAATGTTTTTCTCTAGAACTTGTTTTCTGTTTTTTGTTCCTTTTCCAGAAAACTTTTGAATTCTATCTTGACTACTATAGGACAGTTTTGATTGAACAGATAATATGGAAAAAATGGACCCAATATTTAAGATAAAAGTAGTTTAAGAAAACAATAGCCTTTACCTCCATCCTTTTTTAAAAAGAAAACAAAACATGTTTTTACTCAAATGAATAATTTGACTTTAATTGAACATGAGATTATTGTACAATGAAATTTGCAGTAAGTTTTATATATTAATTATGCTGAATTTTAAGCCTACATATTACAAATAAAATACTTAAAATTGTATAATTGTTTCATATATCATTTATAGCTTTAAATTTTGAATGTTTTTGGAAAAGATGGGACTAAAAGTATATTTATGGTTTGGAAATGTGACTGCATACCAATTAAAACCTTACCTTATTTTTACACTTATCTGGGATATTATGGAATATACCAGTTCTTAGAAACACAGATCTATGCTTTAAGGACCACTCCTAAAATAATTTAAATACCAGAATTTTGTTATAATGTTAAGATTTACCTTAGGAATCACAGTTGTTCAGCTATCAGCTTGTGTATGAGATAATGAATGTTTAGCAGAAAGCCACCTCAAGGGCCGACCCCGTGGTGCACTCGGGAGAGTGCGGCGCTGGGAGTGCAGCAGTGCTCCTGCCGCGGGTTCGGATCCTTTATAGGGATGGCTGGTGTGCTTACTGGCTGAGTGCGGTGGTACGGCCGGTCACAAAAAAAAAAAAAAAAAAAAAAGCCATCTCAAGATTTAATAGAAAAGTTTAATTTGAAGATGTAACAAATATTCTGGCTGAAGATGATTTGAATTTTTTTTTTTGGTGGCTGGCCAGTACAGGGATGTGAACCCTTGACCTTGGTGTTACCAAAACCATGCTCTAATCAAACTGAGCTAAGTGGACAGCCCCTATTTTGAATTTTTAAGGCTTTCCTAATAAGCTAATCACAGAGAAGAATTCATCTTGAAGGTACAAAATTGTGTTTCATGTCTGCCACTCGTAGCCGAACCAATTCACATTTTGACAAAAGAGAAAATATGGATTAAATTATTGGGTACTCTCAGTTTTACAAGTGTAATAATGCAAGTTTTTTTTTCTGCATATAGTACTATACAACAGAAAACTTTGGACTACAATTCTCAGAGATAGATAGTAAAGTCACTGGCCTTTTTCAGCTGTATTTACCCCCACCCTTCAATCTCCCTTGTGCATGCACTCTGCGCCCACCCATGCATGTGCACACGCACATACACACACTTGAAAACAAAACAATTAGGTTGATTTTTCAGGTCTTTGTTGGTGGTTCTGAAGTACTACTGTCAATACACAGGTTTCAGTTCGTTTTGGTTGGCATGTTTCTTTAAATTACATCTCTGAAGCTGAGATTATTAGTGATATAAAAAACTTTATTAATATTTAATTTATCTTTCATATATTATTAATATCAAATTCTTATAGGTGAGTGTTTCTTAAAGTTTTGCACAAGTTTTCATTTTTACTTTGTTTCTGAAATAGTTAATTATGCAGGCTGTAAAATAGATTAGTACATTTTCATTTTAAGAACACTTTTCTCCTTAAATTGTTCTGCAGAAATGACTGGTTTTAGGGAAAATAGTTTACAGCCACTAAATTGTATTTGTTATTTTTGTACATGTATAACTAGGGTGGTGAGAGCACTAATCTTGTAAACACTTACTTTATTTTTATTTGAATTTTTCCTATACATTTAAGTTATTACTTAAAATTACCACTAGGAACAGTCTCATGAAATTTAGATGGAGAAAGAATTGAGAACACTTAAAATATGAATGGAAATCATTTCTGAAGACAAAAGCAGAGGAATACTGCCAGTGCCAAGTGATGGAAGCATAAGGGCAGCATTCACACTGTGCAGGTATTGAATAGCATGCATGAAGACAGGGATCTGCTCTCATGGAGATAGTTTCTCTCTATATGAAAGTAGCTGGAAGGGGAAAAATGGTGTAAAATATGAAATGCAACATGGGTACTATATTATTGTAAGCTGTGCGAAGATTATGCAAATTGTAGGTGTTAGTGATCCAAGTTTAATTGCTTCATCATTTTTATTTTAAAAGGGGATACTGAATGTCAGAAAATCTGTAATATGTTTTATTTGAAAGATGTAAATAATGTATAGAGACTTGTATGTGATGGGATGGGAAATATTTAAATTCTAGGTTTTGGTTTTTTAAAGGAAAAAACTGAATGTTTATAAGCAGAAATTAATAAATAGTTATGTTTGGCCATGAATCCTGATTTGCATTTTGCTTATAGGTATCCCCACACTGAACACATTCCAAAGGAAATATTGAAGGTATATGGAATATTGCTGAATATTTAAAATTTGTTAGGCATTATTTTCTGTAATGTTCACAGCAACCCTGGAAGTTAGAATCTCAGTGTCTTACATACCAGAAAAAAAAACTAAAGCTCAGAAATTGTACAAGTCATTGATTTGGACTAGCATTTAAAAACCCTAACATGCCTGAAATTGAAGCCAATGTTTTTGTTTATTTTCTTTAATATACACTATTACAGTGAGGACAGTTAGCAAAATAATGAGTTAATTATTTACTGACCTTTCCATCAAGCTATTATCCAATATTTAGTCTTTCTTAAAGATC